CCGCTTTTCTGCTACATAATTTGACTTCAAGTTTCCTCCTGGACCACAGAGTTGGTGGGCTCCCCTAGCCTAATCTTCCAAGCACAGGAAAGTGTCCAGTGAGACCAACAGGGAAAACTGTCCACAGCAGCAGCAGGGACTTCATCATCTCAGGTCTTGAGTTCCATAACTGGAGGTGGACGGAACAGGAGCTGGCCTCATGCTTCAGGTCAGAAGCCTGTGCTCACTGAACGCCACCGTGAGTCCAGTGTCCTAGCTGTGTTTGTCTTCTGTAACTTTAAGGGCTTCACGTGGCAGCTGGGGACAACTGAAGGATTGCACTTGCAGTCACAACACTGGGGTCCTTTTGCTGCTTCGATCTGCCGTGGGAGGAAAGATGTGCTCTTCTGGTCTCAGATGCAGCAGGTGAAGACTTCCAACTCTTCTGGAAGCTCTTCTCACATAAGAAGCCAAGGGTTCGCACGCACAAGGGGCCCAAGCTGCTGTCTCCTTGTTGCTTTGCCCCCAGCTGCCTGCAGGCTCTGTCCCCAGCCTGCGGCTCTTCCCTGGCCCTGTGACCAGGAGGCATCAGAGGCCACGCACTGGGGAGGGCCTGTGGGTCTCCTTCATCCTTTCCGAATGCTGACTCAGTTTGCTGAGATACAGGAACTCCGACTCCGTGGACCTCCAGGGCAGCTTAAGGGTGCCCACGAGGACCTGAGGTACCACCTCACTCCCCTCCCGTGGTCTCCCCTGCGGCAGCATCTTCTCAATCTATGCTGCAGGTGGGAGGAGGTCCCTCAAGAACCTAAAAGGACAGCACACGGCCCAGTGCCACCAGGTACCCCAGGATGTGCAGGTGCCCAAGTGTGTTCCTGACAGGTGGGTGTTTTGTCCTGATGGTCCTCATAGTCTTTATTGTCTCAGTGAATGTTCTTTTTCCCCTTCACCTAACATGGGAAAAAAGAAAAACAAACAGAATCGTCTACATTACGGTTGGCAAAGATAAAAGCTTGGGCTCTGTTCTTCTACTAGGATAATTATCACAGAGCAAACCGGCGAGCTTTTCCTGTCACACATCGACACTAATGGCACGCTTTGCTTGACGGAGATGACACTGACATTCATTTCCACGGTCTCCACGCTCTTCCACAGCCAGATCTTTGGGGCTTCTGCACTTAAGACGGCTGCAGGGAACTCCGTCCCTCGGTCCCCAGTTGAGAACCACGTAAATCGCCTTCCCTGGAGGGCAGTGCCCGGCCACCTCTGAGCATCAGGGACGAGCTCTTGGGGTGACGGCTCCTGCTACGTCCCTCCTGGGTCTTCAAGACGGTTCGAGGGGAGGCCGGTGGCTGGAAGGTCCCTCGGTGTGGCTCGAGCTGCAGTGAGAACCCTGAGGGTGCCCACAGAGCCCACAAGGACCCAGCCGAGAGGACTCTAGACGGCCCAGTCTGGGACACCTTGCAGATGAAGTGGCACCAGGTGAGAGATCACAGAAGGTCCTGGCTTTCTATCCCCAGTCACATCACCTTCTTCCAGGCTGTCCTCAGAGGCTGTAGAGCCACCGCCAGGAAGGAGACCTGGGAGCCCAGGGGAGCAAGGCCGCCCACAGACAGGTGTTCCCTTAGGACGGGAAGAGTTGGAGGAACTAAAAGAGAGTTCTCCCAGGAACATCGCCTTGTAACTGCAGATATTTAAGGCTGATTGGGATCTTATTCTCAGAGAAAATACATGGGCCAAAGAGTTTAGAAAACCTTTTCCAAAAAAGGAAGACTCAGTGCCATTTTTGGGGTGAAAAGACGGTCCCTTCACGGGTAAGTTATGGCTGATACGCTGGATGTGGTCATGGCCATTAAAACACGTCTTTAATCCAGTAGTGTCTTTCCTTCTCCCTGCTCACTCAACTATTCACTCAAGGGACGTGTCAGAAGTGAACGTGTGCACGTGGGGACACCCGCGCGAGCAGAGGCAAAGGGCCTCTGAGGGCTGGCCCAGGCAGGGGACCACGACAGGCCCGTGGTGGAAGGACAGGCAGCTCGGGGCCAGCTGAGGGGAGCCCCAGTGCTGCACCCAGGGCTGGAGCTTGCGTAGGTAGCTGCTGAGGACCACTGATGATTTCTGAGCCCAGACAGACAGGGAGACGAGGAGACAGCAGCCAGGGTGGCTAGGAACTCATGGCAACGTCTGGTCGATGAACCATCCCGAGCACCAGGAGGGTGTCAGGAGACGGGGAGATGGCGGCGCTGGGCAACGTGGGAGCTCGTCCGTCCAGGGCTGGGAGAGGTCTCCCTCCAGCACCCTCTTTCAGGCCATGCGCTGCGCTGTCACGCAAGCACTCTAGCACCAGGGGGTGACACCGCCCCAGCCCCTTAGGAAGGGTCTGTGGGTCTCAGACTCCACACCAGGAAGGGGTGATGGTCCCGAGTCTTGCTCCTGCTGCGAACCTGCCTCCACAGGCATGTGGTCGGCGAGTGAGTCAGGTGCCACGTGTGCCGCTTGGCATCACGGGTGCCCAGGGAGCTCTGCGCACCCTGCTGCTTGCTCCCTTGTTTCCCACAGCAGCCCCAGGTCCCTGGCACCACCGGCTCCATGTGCTGGGCGAGGCCAGATGCCGGGTGTGCATGGAGCTGGCACCCAGTGCCTCCCAAGTCTCCTGCAAGGGCCTTTGACGCTGCACCTGGTCAGCCTGTGTGCTGGCCGAAGGCAAAGGTCTGCACCTCTCAGGACTTACACAGACACTCCTGGGAGAAGACATGGTGCCACAGAAACCTAGCCAGGGCAGCAGGCAAAGGCTGCCCAGAAAGTGTCCTCCACCCAACGAGGCACAGCCAGGAAATCCCACCACTGCTGAGGGCTGAGCGCTGTTTAACTTTTTAATATTTTATTTTTATTTCTTGTCTCAAACATTTCATTCCTGTCCTTGTCTCTTCGTGCCCCCCATCTCTGTCTCTGTGTGGCCCTACTCTGTGCATGCACGTCTCACCTCCAATGCCACCATCTAAACAGGCACTCACTGTAGCAGGCTCAGCCTCCTACAGGAAGGAGGTGAAGTTGAGACTGACTCTCCAGGAGCCTTTCAGACTAGGACCAGCCTTTGATTCACTTACTTGAACAGTAAAGACCCAGAAATAAAATAACCATAATTCATGGGAAAAAATTAATGCAAAAGAGAGTCTTTCAAGTGGCATTTTTAAGCCAGTTTTTGTGGCCAGCTTGTGTCATCGGACATGATCATCTGCATATGTGTGGCTACAGGGCTTCAGAAATGATTCCCAGCCCCCGGATGACGTCAGAGGTCAAGGGTGGGTGGATCCTGAGAGATGCTGGGCAGGAGGAAAGACGCAGCCCAGACCCCCAGCCGTTTCCTGCCTCCGTGGGCATTGGCCGCCCATTTCCCACTGTGCTGTGGCTTGCATCTGCTCTCCTTCCTCTTCCACGGAAGCACAGAGCTGGGCTCTCTGTGAAGTCTGTCTTACACCTCCAGGCAACACACAGAGGCACGTGTGCTGAAAGCCACAGGTGCACCCTGTGACCTCAGCCTGGAATCCACTTCAAGGACACACCTCCCCAGTGTGGCTTCTCCAGGGCTGCTAAGCGGCTCCTCAGCACCCAGCCGTCAAGCCGCGAAGACACCCAGAATCGCCAGCCTAGTGCAAGGGGAAGGAGCCCTGTCCTCGGAGCGTGGCGCATGTCCAAGGGGGCTGCCGACACCTCCCTGCTCCCCAAGATGGACAGACACCGTAGACTCAGAAAGGAGTCTGCCTGGGGAAGTGGACTGTCCGGACTTCCTGAAGGGTCACCAGGACGGCCCCCTTCCTCAGTGTCCTCACCAAGCCTTTACCCAGGGACACTCCCGTTCTCAAGGGTGGGGACTCTCCATCTCAGGTAGCCAATGCCCTTTGGAGAACTCCGACATGAGCTGAAGCGGTTCTCCGGGACCCCATGCTACCCCTTGAGATCTGCCCCATCTCGGGTGGCAGCAGGGTCAACCCTATGTTCCAGCCACCTCTGAGGAGGGTGGTGTTTCTCCCACGAGCTCAGCCCGTGGAAGGTGGCCTTCTGGGGCTCCTCAGCTGGGCTGCAGCCGCCTCTGACTCAACGGATGCGGACTCAGAGGGGCCAGGCCGCCCTGCTGCCGACATCTCTCCTCAGTCCAGGCCGCTCGGTCTTGCTCACCAGCCGCGCCCACCGCCCCTCATTTGCTGTAACCAGAGCGACAGAAACCAGCAGCGTGCAGGATCCCACCGGTGAGCCCCGCGTCCCCCAGGAGCTCTGGGCCGGTGGTCCTGTGGCAGCCTGCGGCCTCCAGGAGCCCACTCATGGCCCTACCTGGGAGCGGTCTCCTCTCCAGGCAGCCCTCGTCCTGGCCTGCTGTCACCACTGCTGAGACAGTGGACGGCTGATCTGGGAAATCAAGTTGGATTGCTGTCCCAGCCCTGCACTGGGCTCCCCTGGTCTGTCTGATCGATTTCACTCTGAGCGACACAGCTTGTCGCTATGAATTTTCATGCTAGTCAGCAGCCGCCAGGGCACCCAGGACCAAGGAGAAGGCGCTCCGTGCCCTCTGTCCCTCAGACACACCCAGCCTCCGCGCTGGGCTGCTGCATTGTCGACTGACAGATTGGGAAGGGTTCTTGTTTTGGCCACAGAACGGGACACAGGGGATCTGGCTGCGGGTTTTCTTCCCCTGTCCCCGCCCCAGCTCCCCGTGACATTTCCTACCACAGCTTTGCGGGGTGTCACCTGTTCAGCAGCTCCTCTCGGCTGGATGCATGTGGCCGCAGGTGTCATGCAAACACTGATTGTGTCTGACAGCCCCGTGCCAGCTGCCTGCATGACGGGCGCCAACCGCCACGCTCTGTGGGTACAATGCTGCCCACGGCGCAGCCGACGCAGCACAAGAACGAGGCGACCGCCGAGCTCAGGCGAGTCCTACTAAGTGGCATCCTGGGCCCTGTGGCCTTGAAGTAATTGGTAGTGATAGAATGGAAACAAAGGGTGGGGGGACCTTGTTTTCTTACACTGATGCCCTGCGGACTGTACATCTGACTGGCTGCGAGTCCGTCACTGTATCCTCCTGTCTGGCTGATAACATGGCGAAGGGTATCCACCTAGACAGAGGAACAACACAGGAAGTTAGTCAGAGACACGGGCCGGCGCGTCGTCCTCTCCCAGGTGGCCAAGGAGCGCGGTGGCTCCGGGCGTGCTCTTGGTAAGAGCCTGTGAGGAGGAGGCGGGCAGTTCTCCGAAGGCCAGATCCTTGACCAGGCTGCGTTCAGTGAGCAAAACAGCAAGACGGTGAGAGGAGGGGCCCGAGACCGACCCTCGGTGCCGGGTGGGCTGGCAGGGGCGGCCGAGGCGGCAGGGGAGGGTGGGGGCTCTGCCTCCCTGCGCTCTGCGGCGAGCATGCTCTGCAGCACTCTGACTGGGCAGGCAGCTTAGAGAGCAGACCGCCCATGACCCCATGGTGGTGAGCACACCCAGGAAGGCCCACGTCGGACCGAGGACCTCCCACCAGTCTCCACTGCCTTCCTGAGCAAGGGGCCAGCTTGCTGGCCAGCTGGTCTGTTCCAGGCACAGGGCCTGCTCCACACCGGGACAGGAACCTGGGTTGCCCGGCTCAGAACTGCCCATCCGACCTGGGCCTCTGCCCATCCCGACCTGGGCCTCTGCCTCTGCCCTCTCGCAGGCTTCCTGCCACCACCAGAGGGCTGCCTGAGAGCCGCGAAGGCGACCAGCTGCCTAGGAGCTCTGAGCACCTACACAGGACGAGGTGCTGGCCTCCTGACATGGACCTGTCTTCAGAAATGCAAGCCCACTGACCTCGAGGGTGCCTGAGGAAGAGGTCGGCTTGGCGCTTTTAAAGCTCACAGTGGAAACGCAAGATGCTAACGTCTTCGCCTGCTCATCAGTGACCGCCTCATGTTGGAGAATACTGACCAACAGATGAGAGGGAGACTGGAAATGGAGACGCTAGAGTCCTCCTCCCTCGCCTTTGGTGAATAAAGAGCACACTGTCCTTCTGTGTGACCTGCTGTGGTCACTTGTCCCTGTCCCTATGCTCCCTTCCTGCCCTCCCCAAGTGACTGGTAACCACAGTCCAACGCATCCACCAAGTGTGGACCAGATTCCCACCACGGAGGCTGTCTTTGGACTGCCGTGGTCACGTGGGGCTGCTGGGCTCTCCCCTCTCCTCTCCTCCCTCTCTGGACAGACGCAGGGAGCCAGCATGACTGGGCTCTGGGACTCTACGCATTCACCTGGTGGCACAGTGGCTGGTCCCTACCTGTGATTGCACGTTGGCTCCAACCTGGGCCCCTTGGTAAGAATCCCCATTGAGTGACTGCACGCTCATGAACAAATCTCCAGAGTTTGACATGTTAAAAGAACTGGAAGAACCTGGAAAGGAAAGAGTGAGGCACCTGAATGACAGACAGGGAAAGGCCCCGCACTGACGGCCAGGAGCGAGAGCGGCATGCAAAGCCCCCAAATACCACCAGACACAAGTGCATCCAGAGCCCGGTTAGTAGCAGGAGAAACAGCAGGTCACGCGGGCACGCGGTCGGTGTTAGGGAAGCACACCTCACTCAGGGCTCAGCAGTGCTGCCGCCTCCCAGCCACCTCCGGCAGGGAGAGGAGACCCGTCCTCTCACCCGGCCTGCTGCGAGCCCGTCCCATGCTCCGTCGTCCTCAGGCGGCCCAGGTGGAGAACCCACATGGCAGGCAGCACCAGGGAGGACGGGCCACGGGGCAGTCACACTGTGGCCCTGGGTGGGTCTGTTGTTATTCCGGACTTCTAGGAGGAAGGTGGCCAGCACCCCAGAGGGTCGTGAGCTCAGGGGCCTGTGGGACGGTCTACCTTCCCCACAACCTGCCAGAGCCGAGGAGGGCAAGATGGTGACAGGCCAGGAAGTCAAGCATGCACAAAGCCAGAGGCGCTGCAGGTGACGACATCCAAGATCATAGAGTGGCTTGAGAAAGGGCAGCGGCCAGGTTTCCACCTCCCAGAGACGGAGGCTCCTCCAAGACGTGGCCTTTAGGTCCATCCTGGACTCCCTGGGCCCCGCTGGCTCCAGAGTGGCAAACCTAGCCCAACCTCAGCTCAATGCAAGGGCTTACAGAAGCTGAATATTATCCCGAAGTTGCTGTGCAGCTCAGCACGTTAGGAAAGAAAGCTCAGCGTGCAAGGTTGGGTTAAGACACACGTTAGCCTGAAGAGGAGAGACCCCAGGGACCCAGGTCAGCCACGCTCCACTGCCTTGCTACCCCAGGGCTCGGGCCCTGCGCTCTGGCCCTCCTCCTCTAGGACAGCCCCCTCAGTGAGGACCCGTGCCTCACGGTGTGTGCCTCAGCTCTGCCGGCACTCCCTCCTTTCCCAGGATGGCCCTGGGCTCTGCTGCAGAGCCACACTGCCCGCAGGAGGCTTCTCCCTGCAGAAGGACCACTAAGCTCTCTGCTCTGAACTGTGCCACTAGGCCATCTGCTCGACACTCACAGCACCATGACACTTCAAAAGCAAGAGCCACTTAGGGGAACTAGATGGCTGACAAACTGTCTGCCTGCCAGGAACTAGCTGTTTACTACTAGACGGATCCTCCACCTAGGCATCGGCAGCTCCTGCTTTCCCAAGGAAGAGGGAATGCTTTCTCCAGGGCCAGGGTGCGTCAGGCATCAACCCCAGAACTACGGCATCTCCACAGCTCTGCACCAGTCCCACCTCCTCTGGCATGTTTGTTAGCTCATCTAAAAGGATTTAGAAAGTTGGGGCTTAGTAAAACAGGCCTAAGGACCGACCAGGTGTGGCTCATATGTGTAACTTCCTCCATTAATATGATCGAACCTTTGCAAGTACCCTCCCCCGCCTAAGAGGAAGCACCCTGCAGCATGGGTTCACTCTTGTGTTAAGTCATACAACACCTAGGACTCTAGTTACCTCCCCCTGAAGTCTGTCTGTCACCTCAGAGATGGAGCTTGCACTCTAGAAGCCATTGCAGTAATTGTCACTCTGCCTGCTCACACTTGGAACCAAGAACCAAGAACTGTGACCACTCCACCAGACTGCTCACTCCCAGCCAGAAGGCTGCCGATGTGACGCCCTGCCTCGGCCCTGAGGGTGCCCGGGCACTCGTCTCCCCGGAACCAGCACACACGCTGGGTGCCTGGCTGGTGGTCCACTGGAAATCAGCACAACTCTGAGAGATGGGAGCCCCCAAAGGGCTGCAGTGTGCCAAGTGACAGGGCACCCACGGGCCTTGAAGGCAGGGCAGACACCACTTACAAGACACACACCGCAATCGTCACAGATGATCTAAAAAATATGTGTGCATAGATAAATGGTAAATATGCCTGGCTGCCTGATGTGCACAGAGGTAAATATGCGCATATAAAAGCCCTCCATGTCCGTGTGAGTCTGTGTCAGAGCTCTCTGCTGGGCTGGTTCAGCACTTCAGTGTCTCTGAACGCCGTGGACAACACCATCATGGCTCCCGACTCTCCGATAAGCACCTAGGGCAGCAGCTGCATTGAAGGAGGAGGCTGTGCAGCTACCTCAGCCAGGCAGAAGTCCACCTGTAAACCTAGGAGTGAGGGCAAGTGCTCGGTGCCCAGCACTGGGGGTCGGAAGGAGCCTGTTACATAGTGGATCACCCCCGAGAGGCACACGGTCCCAGTGAGAGCGTGGGCTCTGGTGGAGAGGCTGTGGGGATCTCAGGGGCTGATGCCGGCTGACGGGTTTGCTGAGTACCTTTGGGAGCCTTACCTGCAGGGGGCTGTGGGGTGATCAGCAATTAATACGAGCACATGGTAAGATGTGCTTGTCAGGTAGAACTTTCTGGATCTGGTGTAGGAATGCAGGCAAGTGGCTCATTTAAACTGCCATATTTGGACATGTACAGAGAGATATGTCAGCCCTCAACTACAAGGAGGACAGACAGTGGGTGGCCCAGGACCCTAACACATTTGCTTGGGCACACACATGATCTGGAGTCATGAATATCCATTTCCTAAAGCAATTTCCCCAAGGTGGCATTTCTTCCCTAAAAACCCTTTGGGAGACTTGAGTTTGTTCAAGAAATAATGATGGCAACAACAAAGTAAAAAACTTCATAATTCAGACACACAAAAAGGAATGATAGTAACCAGAGCCCTACAGCTAGGGTAGCGCCGTGGACCCGGCCCTGCTGACGTTCAGTGTGTGCTCTGCAGGACGGGGGGCGTCCTCCCATCTCTGCAAGTGGAAGCCCGGAAGGCACTCCCTGCCCAGCGCTGACAACACGGGTCTCCTGGGGTGCACATGTGCTCCCCGTGGAGAACCAATGACCAGAAGGAACCTGGCTGCTCTTCCTCTAAAGAGACTCAAAAGAGCTTCAAAATACCAGCTCAGCATTTCTCACTGACTTCAGTGAAGCGGCTGTGTGGGAAACAGGGCCTCAGCGCTGTCCTGGGGAGTCCAGCATCAGGTGGACGTGTGGTTGTCTGCACCCCCACCCTCCTCCCTCCGTGTGGGCTTGATTGTGTCTCTCTCTGGCTCCCAAGGTGGGGCTCTAGATGTCTGAGGGTCTCAACTCAGCCTTCATGATCTCATTGGTAGCAGGAAATGCAGAACACAGCACTCTAGGTCTCTGCAGAAGAGGGAAGGACCAGGGTTTTACACCTGCTCCAACAGGTGCCCATCTGTGCCTTCTTGCTGTGTACACTCTACAGCACACGGATCACCTAGACCTTGCTGACCACACCCAGGTCCTCTCCTCAGTGACGTGGATGAAGCAGTTTGAAGAGAAGGTGGCAAACGGGGACATGTAGAGGCCCTGAGCGCTACTCCCCACACAGCCCTGGGGCAGGGAGGACTCTACCTGCAGGAGGCGTGAGTACCCTGGTGATGCTTCTGGACAAAGGCCTGCTCCTGCGTCCCTAGGCTGCAGAGCGCTACCTTCATGCTATCCTGGTGTCTTATCACATGCCAACCCTTCTCTTCCCGCCATCTCTCCTTTAAATGCCCGAGAAGCAAGTGCCTGGCCTGATGGATGGACACCTGCCCACCACTTGGAGCGCTGCTTGCGTCTCTCTGGGCAGGGGTTTGGGTTGTGTTAGGAGCAGAAGGAAACACCCACTGACCGCTGTTCCTGAGAAGGCATCTATGTCTCCACCCGCCTGCTACTGCACATAGAGAGGGGGTTCCTCAGTCTCTGCTTTAGAAGGACCCTGTGAGGGGCTCCCCTGCACCCCAGAACCAACAACCTGGGCACGACTGGGAGGCTCAGCTCAGCTTTCCACAGTAACCGACTCTGTGCTCAGAGCAGTCACATGAACCTTAAGCCACCAGAGAAATTCCTTTGAAAGCTGTAATCACAGACTGCCACTCCGTGAGAGGCCACGTGATTCTTAAACACAGAGTAGGGCGTTAAAATGCTTACTTTTCTCTTTTCTAAGGGCTTCAGGAAAGAACAAATAGTTAAGGATTTAGTAATGAAGGGAGTCCACAGGGCCCTTCTAGGACTAGTCATAAATCATGCTGAGCCATCTGCGATGCAGATCTATCAGGGCCGGGAAGACTCGTTCTGATGTCTGCTTTGCATTGTGATAACCTTTGTGAGAGTGCTGAGTGCATTTTTGCTAATGTGGACAGAATTGCCTTCTTCCAAAGAGTCCAGTGAAAACGTCTGTCCAGCAGCGCAGCTTGACCGGTGTGGCTGGGTCTGAAATGCGTGACGGCTGACCAGACAGGGAAGAAGGAAACTCTCCAGCCTGGAGCATGCTCCTCGCAGTGGCCAGGCTGCAGGGCTGGACCAAGGCTCACCACAGCCTTCTGCAAAGCCCAGGCACTCCTAAACAGAAGGTGGTGGTGGCACAGCCACTGGCCTGGGAAGCCTAGTGGTGACAAAATAGCGTATCTAGATGCTCACAGGAGGTATTACTGTGTGGAGACCTATGTGACTCCAACAGGCAGGGAGGGAACCCATTGCAGTGGACAAACCAGGTCTGGGTCAAAGACACCACTTCCTCTAAGAGTTAGATGGGAGGTTTTACACCACATCATGGTGATGTGTATTTAAATTCGTTATCCACCCTCATTCTATTGTCATCAGCTTATTGGATGTGACTCACAGCCAGTCCATGCACTGTGTTCACTAAGGGGAAGGGCAGAACCTGATACCAAGCATCTAACAAGGGACCGAGTCTGTTCCTCCCTGACACTCAGACACCAGCATGCTTCCAGAGTACACAGCCACAGGGTCGTGTTTTATGCATTACTGACTTTTTGCACCATGGAAATTCAGTACTCATGGCTTGAAGCACACTCAGAAATACCTAAGCTCAGGAATTGGTGACACTATGCACAGTCACCAAAATGAAGTGCACAGCACAGCATGTGACACTGAAACTTGAAAACTGGAATAGGAATAATTTGAATTAGCAACTGGTAATTTTCTTTGCAGTTTGCAAAAAGAAAACCAACAAAATAAAACAATAAAGGATAATAGCTATAAACATTGTATAGAAATAACTGTAACCTGACTTGCAGATCAGAATGTGCCACAGAGTGAGCATCCTGCAGAGCGGCACGCCAGCCAGGGCCCAGGCGCTACATGGGGGACTGCAAGACAGACAAGGCTGAACCCTGAAGAGACCTGAGGATGGAGCCCCCAGAGACCATGGTGAAGCCTTGAGTCTATCTTATTTATTGGAATCTCTGGACTTCAAGGTCTCCTCAAGACCAGACAGCGCATCTGTCTCCAGCACACACGTCAATGCAAACCTCAGACGGACTCAGCTGCACACAGCACCCTGCTCCTTCCAGGTGAAAGCAACTCCCCAAAGTGGCATCAACAACAAAAAGAACAGTTAGATCCACAAGTCAGCCCATCCTAAACCAAGAACCTAAAGAGTTCTTTCATTCGTTAAAACATCCCCCTATCTGTGGGGAAGCGGAAGGAGCCGGGGCCAGGGGACACAGAGTGAGGGAGGGCAGTGGGCAGGTGGACAGGGTCAGAGCCTGATATGTGCCTGTTGGGGATGTCTCTTGGAACCCATCAATCTGCACAGTTAGTGGGATTGAAAGCTTATTTTAAAAGGACATTTTAGGACCCGCTAGGTATATCTGAACCGGCCTCCGTATTCTACATTAACAGCATGTCAGCGTAGGATTGGGGTCCTGGTGATGTGCTCTTGGTTTTGTAAGAAAGCATCTTGTTTGCGGGTGATCCCGCTGCTGCTTTGGAGGTCTCGGGCCACGGTGCCTGCCACTTTCACGTGATGCCCGCAGGTCATGCTACATCTCACAGAGGAAGATTTAAGGAGGAGCCCGAGAGCTGTCAATTGTGAAATATAGCCAAACGCATACACAGATTCAACTTTTCTGTAGAATTTGAAAGTTTTTAAAATAGAATGCTAGGGAGAAGGTTATTTTAATGAAGCAAAGAGGAATAAAATTCTACCACAACCCGTGAAGAAAGAAATGAGTGAATCAACTATCAGGCCCACTTCATGGTGCGCTTTTAATTTCAACAGCAATAACAGCTCATGTTTGTCGAGTCCTTCATTTGTGCAAAATGCTTCTCACAGTCTCACTGAATTTTCAAAATCACACCTTGATATGGAATAAGTTCGAGATTTCCCAGTGTGGTCTCGGGAGGGGATGATGGCTGGAAGGGGGCGTGGAGCTGTCCAGAACATGAGCTTTTCACCCATGCTGTTGACAATCTTACCAATGAACGTGAGGGACTATTAAATTCTCCATTTAAACAAGAAAAAGAAACAGAAATAAGACAAAAACAGAAACAAAACCAAAACCCAACATAGAAATGAGTGTAAGATGGAGACTGAGCCCCCAGATCAAAGGAAGCACTGACCAGCGGAGTTGGGGGTGGAGGGCGAGTTAGCTTGGCTTCCGTGGGCTGACACGTTGGTGGCAGTAACCGCCGTTTTGGCAGCGTAGATATTGGCTTCCTCTTGAAATTTACCTATGTTCTTCTTGTACCGGATTCTCTTATTTCCAAACCAGTTTGATACCTGGAGCGATTTAAGAGAAGTCACAAAGTTAATGTCTTATCCTTCAGAAGCTCTGCAGAAGGAAGGAAGGGCGCATTGACACACAGGCGAGGGTCTTAGGCTGCAGCTTCAGTTCGGGGATCTGAATAAGGGCTCAGAAAGAGCAACCTCACAAAAGATCCCCTTGTTAAGGCATCTGAAATTTCGCAAAACCATTGATGGAAGTTGTTCTACAGAGAATCTGCTCATTTAACCTAGGACTCTTTTAGCTTAGGGTAAGCATATTAAATTTGTTTACCTCCCAATTTAGGACACTAAAGTCAATGCATCAGGAGGAATGCCGGTTTCTTATCAATGCCAAAGCTGACTTCGCACAATCAAACACAGAGACCTTTAAATAGCCACGTCAGTCTCCGTCGACAGACGGGTGTCTCCATGCACAGGTTGGTTTCAATGGCTTGGAAGTTAAATAGCTCTAATGTGGACTTAGATTCTTAGCTGTCATGTGCTGCCCCGAGGATCCCCATAACCCAACCCAGCACATTTCACTGGGTGTTTCCTGCAGAGCTTGGTGGTGGCCACACAAGAGAAATGGAAGCCCACAGCTGATTCCTGTGAATTCCAGGCTTTAATGGCAGATGCCAAGAAACACCACAGACCCAACTCACTTTCGTTTGTTGGTCTGCCCCTCAGCGTTCTCCCTGCAGCGTTCCTGGCCTGGTTGGGGGCCTCTGCCCACTTGCACCAAGACCTCTTTCAGGCTCAAATGGAGACTCAGTGCAGCTCAAGTTCACCCCAACCCCTGCCAAACCCCACATTTCAGATGAGATCTTGAACTAAAATGTGGTGCTCTTGTGTAAGTAGAAAACAAACCACAATTTGGTGAGGGGAGGTGAATCGGTCACACATGGAGCACAGCTTCCATGTGATTGATATTCAGCCCCTGAACAATGGCAGACAAAGAAAATTTGTGCAAAGTCGTATTTGCTTTTTAAATGCATCCTGTACAAAGGTAAAACGTGGTGTAAGGTGGCCCCTGGAGGCCTGCACGGTTTAACCTGGCGCAGAAACTCCAAGTCTCTGCTCTAGAGATCCAACTGCACCACTGTGATACCAGCAGAGAGGGAAAGGATTCCACAACAAAGCGCCTGTTTCATTGTTGATGCAGGAAAAGAGTCGCACTGGAGGAGGGGAGGGGCACCGTCCACACAGGGCCACTGCCGTCTAATGCCACCTTGATGTCACTTTTGCCACTTAGGTGAATCAATCAGGGTCATCTTTTTTTAATTACTTATAAATAGGACAGGGAGGAAGCACAAAGGGAGGAAACTGGAAGAAAGGAAAAGATGAAGCAGGACTTTCCAGGAAGAAGGAAGGCCGGCCCGAGGTCCAAGTCATCAGCTGTGTGTGAGAACAGGAGGAGACTGACGCCCTCGTGACGGAGAAGGACCGGACCGGCAGGGACGTGGGTGTCAGTTTAGCACCATCTGCACTGCGACCCGGAAGGTCGAAGGTCAAAGCTGCATTCACGTCCCACAGCCACGGATGGAGGCCGAGTGGGCGAGGGCCAGGGCTGCCTAGGTAACCCGGCAGGACGGAGGCAAGTACAGATTTCCTCGGGAGAGTTGGATCTGAATCGTGAACGGCCGAGTGGGAAGACCCCGGGGGCAGAGCGATAGCCAGGAGGCAGAGGAGGTGTGGCCTGGTGTCCGGGGAGAGAAGTCCCTTCTGGACACTTGAGCAGAGGCACGTTTGTGCTGAGCGTGCAGAGAGCGCTCTCACAGCCAAGTGCTCAGCAGAGCTGCGGAAACAGTCTGCTCCGGGGCTGGGGACTGAGGTTTCTCCCGGCCCGGGTGGTGCTGATGTGGCTCTGTGTCCGTGCATGGAACAGCTGGGTGAGAGGAGGCTGGCTGGGCTCCGGGGAGCGAGGTCCTGGGTGCACTGCAGGTGGACTTGGGTCTGTGAGCATGCTTGGGCTTTGGGTCATGGGAGGAATCAATAGCTCTTAGCAGATTGCCGAAGAACCAGTGTCAAAAGAGGTCAGGGCCCTTGGGTAGGGCTTGTAGAGCTTCCAGTGAAAGAGAGAATAGTTCCTGAGCAAGTCGGGAGCGGGCCCTCCAAGAAGAGCGAGTGACCAGGAGGGAGGAGGACCCAGTAGAACGGCAGGGAGGAGGCCAGGGCGGGAGACTCTCGAGGAGGGCGCTGGCCAGAAACAACAGAGGAGGCAGCGAGTCCCCTGGGCTTGGGGACTGGGGGCCAGCTCGACCGACACACCACGTGATCAGCCAACCCCAACTGACAGAGGGCTCAGCTAAGACCCCAGAGGGAAGAGTGAGCCCCGGGAGACCCCGGTCGGCGGTGCTGGAAATGGGCTCTTGCCTCGTGGTCTTCTGTGAAGCGCACACCATGGTGCCTCCCAGTGGGGCTGTGGCACATGCTGACAGCTGGGCTGCTGTGGGAGGGACAGGTGTGACGAGGAAGGAACAGCAGGCCGGCCCTGGGGTGGCGAGGGGAGAGAAGGGCAGCGGAGCACGAGACATGTCCATGAGCCTGCACTGCACTGAGCCTCACCACGGAGGCCGGTTGGTGGGACGGGCCAGGTCTCTGCACACCTCCCACAGACCAGCTGGGAACCACCCCTTTCACTGTGGGGGGGGGGCTTGCGATTCTGCACCCCAGACCTGGACGTCATGCACAGGGCCGTTTAATCCTTCTGTAGAACTTCTCTGATTTTCCAATGAAGGTGCTTCATCCCGGAAGCCCTCACCCAGCAAACTGCAGCCGACAGCAGGAAAGCGCTTGTGCTTGGCAAACCAGGGTCTAGATCTGGACCAGAAGGCTGCAGCCCTCGGAAAACACTAGGCCACATGAGTGTGGTCCCAGCTCCAGCTTTCCCAGAACTGCTGAGGCCGGAGACGACCTTTGGCCGTGTCACAGCACCTCGGGACGTCTGTCCTCTGCCTCAGCTGACAGGCGTCTGAGGGCTCTCACCACAGCAGCACCCAGGGCTGGTGGGGCCTCGGCAGTCCTACCCTTCCAAGCCCCTCTCCTGGGCTCTGGTTCTGACGGGCCTGTTGCTCAGCTGCACACGCACGCCCCGTGGGGAGCAGTGGAAGCCGGGGATTTGGGCCAAGGAGCACCCACTCTCGGCAAAAAGTGACACATGACGCGTCTGCCCCAGTGGCCTTCCCCGCTCTCTCCCATCCTGCTCCTGATGGAGATACATTTCGTTCTCTCGTGAGTGACAGTATCCTGAGGAAGTTTCTCTGGGAGATTTCAGAGCCATCGCGCTGCTCGCCATGAGATGGGAGTTGGTTGATATTTGAGGTTCAGACTGAAGGAGGAGATTGGGTGGATGCTCCCGGGAAGGAAAAGGAAACACAGAGTGTGAGTCCTGTGTATCCAGATCCAGGTCCACTGCTCTCCCACCTGGCTACCTCACAGTGACACTGAGGACTCCAGGCCTAACAGGGTGACATGAGGTGCCTTCCCAAGTCTGCAGCCACCTGCCAGGTGGGGCAGAGGCACTCGTGACATGTGCAAACGCCCAGTGTGGTGGTGACGAAATAGAGGCCTTCAGTCCACAGGTGTGGGCTCAGCACGGTGGGGAAGATACTTCGGTCCTCTGCATCGAATGACTACTTGATGACCAGCTTCATTCCTGGGTTGTTGGAGGAGGCGTGTTGAAGACCTCAGCAGGTCACAGGAGAGACCCAGAGCTCCCCGGGGTGAGGACCTCCCTCTGCAGTGTAGACCTCACAGCTCACAGGACAGACCCAGAGCTCCCGGG